CCTCAGTTTATAGTCTAGTAATTTCCCTGTGCCTTAAGCAGTGCCAGGAACAAAGCAGAGCACATACGTGGAGGAATGAGTGGAAGAAAAGGCTGGGCCCAGGTGCATGGGCATCAGTTGGACACCCTGAAGGATGTGATAAATGACACCATCTTAGTGGGGGCAGAGTGAGCCTTTAAAGGGATGACAAAGTATACTCTAGTCTCCGGTGCTTTTTGTCTCTTCCCAGATCTATGTTTATTTTCTCCTTCCCCAAGCATCTACTCCATACTTTTATCTCTGCGCTCCACTTTTTGGTCAGCGAGAATCCTGGAATGTCAGAGTTGGAAGAGACCGTAAGATCATCTTATTGAACCTGCCTGATTCAGCACTAGGAAATTAAGAACCCAGGAAGTTTAGGGACCTATCCAAGGTCACCCAGCTTGACAGCAACAAAGCCCTACAGTTGGAAAGAAACTGAGACAAGGGGACCAGAATGATATGTAAAGTGATTGACATTTCCTTTCGCTCCGATTTTCAGGATTAGCGCTTAAGTACTTAACTTCTTTCTGCCACAGACTAACTAGCACTTTTGTGTCAGGAGTAATTTAGGCTGTTTAAGCTTAGACACAGCCTTAGCAGTCAGCTCAAATTAATTATGTTTATTGTATTCCCATAGGTAAAACTGCACTAGACTTTGGGATTCAAAGAAGTAGCTTACACTTATAAGACACTACCCATCACCTCAGTTTACAGTCTAGGTAGTTCATTACATGCAGTCAAATTGTCAGTAGAACAAAAAATGTCACACAGAGCCCTTCCTTGCTCATTCTATAACTGTCAGGCAGGAGTCACTGGGTTTAATGATATATTTCTAAAGAGAGAGGAGAGCCAGCTGTCAGAGGCTGTCTCTCCCCTTCTATAAATTTGCTTTCTCTTCTTAAATGGTGAGTAGCTGATCCTCAGCAAGGAGGGGTTTGTTTATTGTTTTAAAGATCTCATGATTCCTGTTTAAAGAGGGTGTAGGCTTGCAGTGGATTGTTGTAGGCTTAAATTCACTGAAGAGATGGAAGTAGCAGGCTCTGGGGGTGCAGTCAGAGCCACTGGGAGTGGGTGGCCTCAGGCTAGGGCCTCTAGTGGGAACACAGAGGAAAGCAGTCCTGAGCTGGTTAAGGAGATGGAAGTCGGGGAGACTTCCCTGGGGGTCAGCTCACCGGGAAGACAGAGTACTGCTGGTGCTACAGGACCCAATACAGGGCAGTCAATTGTTAAGGACGCAGGCAATGTGACAGATTTCTAAATCTATATAGGATCTGGACTGGAGAGGGCAGGCAGTGAGTACCTGAGTAAGCACCATGTGAAAGAGTCGGGTCAGGGCTAACAGAGCCCTCATGACTTAGTTTTGAGAATAGTTGTCACCTTTTTATGTCCCAGTGATTTGGTTTGCAGTACCATGCTAAGCTCACTGAACAGCCTTCTCTCACTGATCCTGCCTCAAGCACCTGGGAAGAGGGATAGAGCCAGGAAGAGAAAGGGGTCCCTGCCTAGGTCCTCTCCATTATTCAAGCTCTGTTCATATCCTACCATCTCCATAAAGGCTTCCCAGCTTCATTCGCTCATCAAGTGCTTTTTGGCACCCACTCTATGCTTGGATACTGGGTGCTGGGTGCCAGGTTCCAAGGACACAGTGGGAAGCAAAACAGGAGGACCCATCCCCAGAAACTTGGCGTCCAATGAGAGGAAGTGCCTGTGGATCAGCCTCCTTTCTTAACTGTTCCTGGTTAAGGGCATGAGTTCTGGAGCCATTCTGCCTGGGTTCGAAGCCTCCGATTGCCACTTTCTACCACGCATGCCTCCTATGAGTAGAATGCCATAATCCCGGTATGCTGGGGCAGCTCCAGAGGACACCTGCTGCTCTGTGTAGTTATGGATTGTGCTCCCTTTCACTTAAAAACGCATCTCTAATTTTTTTTTTTTTTAAAACCTACCAGCAGTGAAATTTCTCTTAGAAATAAAAATAAACAAAACACATCTCAATTCAGGTAAAAAACACTATGGTTGGTTACCTTCCTTACAAGGTTCAGTTTCCTTATTTGAAAACTGAAGTTAATAATACAATCTACTTCATAGGGTGGTAAAAATCAGCCAGGGTGATGGTGCATCCTGTGATTTCAGCTGCTCGGGAAGCTGAGATGGGAGGATCACCTGAGACGGGGGGAGGTCAGGCTGCAGTGAGCCATGATCAAGCCACTGTGCTCCAGCCTGGGCAACAGAGTGAGACCCTGTCTCAACAAAACAAAACAAACAAAAACATAAAATAATCTACGAAGTGCTTGGAACAGTGGCCCAGTAAGCTCTCAATAAATATTAATAATTGCTATTGTTATTTTAATTGTGATTACCTTCCCATTGGGTTTTGGTCCCCCATTAGTGAGTGGGTCCTTAAGTCAGGGGCTGTTGTACACCTCTGTATTCCTAGCACCCAGTACCATGCTCTGCACAGTGGGGACTCTGACTCAATATCTCCTCAAAGAGACTGGGCTACAGGCTTCAGCCTATGAGGGTGACTTGCAGAACGGGCGGACTGTTGAGATACTGTGTTCTATCTGGTTTCAGATGGAAACACAGGGAAAATGGAGGATGTTCTCCTCCTTCCCTTTCTGATTAGAGTTGACAGATAAAATAGAGAACATCCAGTTAAATTTGAATTTCAAATAAATAATGAATAACGTTTTATATCAGTATATCCCCAGTGTTGTATGGGACATAGATTAAAACATGATTTGTTGTTTATCTGAAATTCAAATTTACTCCAGGGTCTGGTATTCTTGCCTGCTGAATGTGACAACTCTGTCTCTGAGTTCCTTTTCCACCCTTTGTGGGCCCCGGCCAGCAGCGGCGCTCCCTCTCAGTATCACATTCACACGGCCACAACCACAAATCTTCCCCTGACTCCTACTTGCCCTCCAGGGCCAACCTTAGTCCTCCTCGTGGGACACCTCTCATGATTTAGCTTCTTCCACCAGGAGGAGGAACTGAGAAAGGGTGGGCAGCAGCAGGTGTCCGTGTGTCAGGGAGCCAGACTGCCCATTGGGTTAGAGGTTTCTAGATGTCCAGGAGTGACCCTGAACTCCCCGCCCTAAAGAGATAAGGGGAAGCTGTTTCCTACCTGGCCTCAGGGAGAAAAGGGAGAGCAAGGATGAAGCCAGCCTTGATATCCTCATCCAGTTTCCCCTTCCCATCAGCATCCGTGTCTTCTGAGCCTGCCTCTGCATGAACCTCCTAGTGGCCTTCTCCTTGGCTACTAGCCAGCCACATGTTTTTGTTTGAGATGGACTTTCGCTCTTGTCACCCAGGTTGGAGTGCAGTGGCACGATCTTGGCTCATTGCAACCCCTACCTCCCAGGTTCAAGCGATGCTCCTGCCTCAGCCTCCTGAGTAGCTAGGATTACAGGTGCCTGCCACCACGCCCAGCTAATTTTTTGTATTTCTGGTAGAGACTGAGTTTCACCATGTTAGCCAGGCTGGTCTCGAACTCCTGACCTCAGGTGATCCATCCACTTTGGCCTCCCAAAGTGCTGGGATTATAGGTGCAAGCCACCGTGCCTGGTGTGAGCCACTGCACACAGCCTCAGCCACATTTTTGATAGTATGCCTATGTGGATGGGCTGGGGCAGGGGAATGTACCTTTGGAGCACTCTTCTAGAAAAGTCAGGAGGAAGATGCCAGGTTATCTCTGGGTTTAGGAAGTATAAATTGTTAGCGTACCACTCCCCTGGCTCCTCCCTTTTCCTCAGAACATTTATGGTGGGCCAGGCACTGGGATAACTTTGTCATACATATTACTTCATCCAGTCCAACCTTGCAAGGCAAATATGATAGTCCTCATTTTACAGTTGAGAAATCAGGAGCTGAGGGAGGTTTACTCCCTTGCTGAACAGTCATTCAGTTTGTAAGTGGTGGAGCAAGTATTTAAGCCTGGTCTCTCTGACTTCCAACCCCACTCTTAACCAGCCTCCTATACTGTTCTTTTTTTTTTCAGAGTTCACCCTGGCACCTACTAGGTGCTCAATAGATACTCCCTGGATGAATGCATGATCGAATGTACAAATGAATGTGTTGGACCTAAGGTCTACATTTATTTCTGTAGATTCGCCTGTCAATGATAATCAGGAGAATGATTTGTTCTGACATGTTTACATATTTTTGATTTTGAAAAATTCATCAAATTATAATTTGTGATCAAAGAGTTTATGGATGCTAATTTCACTATAACATTGTATTTGTCTTTAAATGAAAACGTTTTGGTTGTAGGCCCTGAGTTCCATAGGCCTTGAGACTCTTAGTTATTCTTTTTTGGCATCTATTACAGTTTTTGTGCGTACATATTCCCTGTGTAATTCAGGATTCAGCCAGTTTTAGGGGCAGTCATCCTTGTGGGATTCTCAAATCACAGCCTCTGGTTGGTCCCAGCCTTTTTAAGAACCTTCCTGAAACATGCTCTGACTTTCAATTTTACGTGAAGCAGCAGTAACCAATGGTCTCTGCATAGCTCTGAGTATTCCATTGAGAAATTTATTTTTTCTTTTGATCTTGCTGTACATTTGGTATTAATTTTTTTCTTGGTGTGTCTCCATTTACACATGAATGACCTCAGTCTGTTTTTAGCAAAGCATTGCTAAAAGCAAAGCTAGAGCTGGATGAGGATGCAGGGCTCATTAACAAAAAAGCATTGAGAGGCCTAGGTTACAACTGCTCTTTCAAAGCTCATACAGCCACAGCACACATTCTGTTATACAAACACACACACACAGAGCCACAGGAAGCAGGTTGTGAAACAGAGAGGGACTCTAATTGAGGAATGTGGCCATGAATATGAAAAAGTAAAACAACCATGATCTTAACAAAAAAGTGGTGAGGACCAGCTTAGGTGCAAGCTGTGATCTGTGGTCTGCTATGATTTTGATCAACATTCTAGGAGTGCCCAGAACTTGTAAGTCTCATGTCAGAAAGTGAGAGGCATGCTCACTTGGGCAGCACATATACTAAAATTGGAGCCATACAGAGAAGATTATCATGGCCCCTGGGAAAGATGACATGAAAATGCATGAAGCATTCCATATTAAAAAAAAGAAAAGAAAAGTGAGAGGATGTTTAGGAGGCCCCTGAGAGGTAGCAGGAATGTCTTACACACAGATTTTTGGTTGTTACATAACATCAGTGATGGATTTTTCACTGCAAGTTACTATTACCATTCAAAGTGTGCATCATGAGTATAGTAGCCCTGTGAAGTCCAACTACCTTTGTTTATAGGTATATGTTAAGATAGGAGTCATACTGTTCTCACAGCAGATGGAACTCCCTTGGCTTCCCAAGAACCATATTTCAAGAGTTCATAATGCTAATTTGGGGGAGATTTTCTTCTTACAATCTGTGTGACCTTGAGCAAATTTCTTACCCTCTTGGTGCCTTAGCTTCCCCATCTGTCAAATTAGGGGAATAATAGTAACTCTCTCACAGAGTTGCTGAGCAGATTAAATGAATTAACCTGTGGAAAGCACTTAGGACAGTGCCTGACGTAAAAAGTGTTACATACCAGTTTGCTATTATCATTACCATCAGCAACAGCAACACCAGCTTAAGACAACCATGAATGTCATGCCCTTACTGCAGCTTTTCCAGGCTTCCACAGTTGGATGCACCCTCTCCTCCCCACCCCTTTATGAACATCTAACATCTAAACTATGTGCCCTGCCTGTCCTTGTCCCCAAATATCTTCCTGGCTAAGAGAATATATGTGGACTCCTCACTCCCAACTTCATGTTCCTCTATAGCATCAAGACTCATTCATTTTTTTTTCATTCAGCAAATGTTTATGGGTACCTTCTCTGTATAGGCTCTGCCAGGTGAGAGAAAAAAATCCCATGATATTTCCCATGCTAATGCACACACTGAAGGAAAGCTCATGCAGACATTTGCTCAGCTCCTTGACCAGCTGAGTGACCATGGGAAGAAGCTGGGTATAGCTAAAGTGATCTTGTGTTTTGAAGAAAACAACATATGTATTCAGACAAGCATTAGCATGTGTAAGAGAAGAGCAAGGCAGAATAATAAATTTGGGATTTTTTTTAGACATTCTCAGCCACATGGTCAACAAAATTAAAGCACTCCAGAAAGAGACTCACTTAAATCCTTCCTGGAGACTACAGCATTGGCTTGGGTACGGAAACAGCACCCACAACCACACTGAGCACTAGCCTCGACACATCATACGTATGGTGTTTGATCTAATCCTCACAAGACCTTGTAAGGGAAAAACTGCCATTCTCATTTTAAGAGGAGGAAACTGAATCTCAAAGAAATACGTGTCTTGTCACATCACACAGCTGGCAAGTGGCCCAGGCTTTGCCCCACATAGCTGCTGGGACTGTTGATAAGGTCAAAGGGTGCTAATTTTCATAAACACTTGAGTAACTCCTATATGTAATTGGTCACTAAATCTTGCTAGACTTAGATGTGACATTTTGGAGAGCTACCTCTGGAGGCCTTTGTGGATCTTCAGATTTGGGAATACAATTAGAACACTTCATTTATATGACAAAATGAGAAGGGAACAAGTCACTTTAAGAGAGCCATTGGCATCAGCTAAGCTCTTTTACTGGATAAATTATTAATTTCTAGACACTAGACTCTTCATATGTACCATAAATGTGTGGTCCAGCCAAATCAGAAACGACCACATAACCTGTATCTCATTGTGGTTTTAATATGCCTTTCCCTAGTGGCTAATAAGGATGAACATCTTTTCATATGCTTACCATTTGTATATCTTTTTTGATGCAATGTCTGTCTTTGTCTCTTGTATATTTTCTAATTGGGTTAGTTTTTTACTGCTGAGGTTTGAACGTTTTTTAATATATTCCATATACTAGTCCTTTGTTGGGTGTGCAGTCTGCACATATTTTCTTCCTCTCGCTATCTTATTGCTTCACTTCTTAACAAAGTCTTTTGCAGAGTGCGTTTATAACGTTGATGAGGTCCAATTTATCAATTTTTTCCCATTGTGGGTTATGCTTTTGGTGTCAAGTGTAAGAACTCTTTGCCTGGCCTCATATTCCAAGGATTTTTCTAATTTTTTTTTCTAAGAGTTTTATAGTTTTGCATTTTATATTTAAGTCTGTGATCTCTTTTGAGCTAACTTTTATATAAGGTATAAAGTCTACATTAAGGTTCATTTTCTTTTTTGATCTAGGAATGTCTGGTTGCTCCAGCACTATTTTTTGGAAATGCTCTTCTTCATCCATTGCATCGTTTCTGCAACTTTGTTAAAAGTTGGTTGGCTGTACTTGTGCGGGTTGGTCCAGGATTATGGAGGGTGGGTATTCTCCATTCCGTTACATTGATCTATGTGTCCATCTGCTAATAGGACACCACCTTTATACTATAGTTACATACGAGGCCTTAATACTGTGTAGAGTGATTCTTCCCACTTTATCTTTCTTTTTCAAGATTGTTCTAGCTATTTTAGGACCTTTCCATATACATTCTAGAATAAGCTTATTGATATCTACAAAAAAAAAACCTTGCTGGGATTTAGATAAGAATCGCATTAAACTTATGGTCAACTTAGGGGAAAATAGACATCTTTACAATGTTGTTTATAAGATCTCTTTGATTTGTTCCTTCTCCATTCCTGTAACTGCTATCCCCAAGGAGAATGTCATTAGCTAACGCCTGATATTCCATACCAACCTTATAACTTGCCTTTCACTGGGGTCTTCTGTTGTTCCCACCCCTGCTGTGTGTTGCTGCCAAAATGATGAAACTCAAGCTCTCCCCCACCAAAGTTGCTGTCTTATTTGAGAATCTCAAATTGCTTCCTACTCCAGACGCAGGCCCAGGTTTACCCTCTTATACAAATTCCCCAAATTTCCACTTCTTATTCAGTCTTGATATACCCAAGTAATTCATAACTCTGAACTGCTCTCTAAACATATAACTTAGTCAGGAATTCCTTCCACACTGCCAATCTGTTTCCATTTTCTTCTGTCAATTTAAGCTTACTCAATCCAAGAAATATTTCCTAAATAACTTGGTCATCTTGTACAAGTTCATACACAGTGGCAGGCCTAGCATATCTGACATCTGGATCAAGTGATTTTTAATGCTACTCTCCTCTACAGAATGGATTTATGCTCAGTAATAAGTGTATAATGCAATAACAGCAATCCCTGCTATTTTCTGATTTTTTTAGTTTTAAAATTAAAATTCTTTTCAAGCTTAACTTGAATAAAATTATGTTTTTAGCTTTGAATTCTGAGCTTCAATAAAAAATAGAATTCTACTTTAAAGATATTCAAATTCAGTAAAATATTTCACTTATGAACTAAAATTTGTACTTACAAAACAAAAATATCATGTTTTGAAGTTTGCATCCTATGTCACTGTTTTAAGTTTAAGACACAAAAACCTCAAGTGAAAAACAAAACAAAACAAAAAAACCTCAAGTGGTCATATAATGACTTAAGTTCTGATTCTCTCTGTATTTACTGTGCTATTTTTGTTTATTTCACATCTACTGAATGCAGGAATACACAGTACCGCAGGAGCTAGAAACACACACTGCACCTGAAACAAGGTCAAACTACTTAAATCAGTATGACCTAATTGTTAAATGAACACTTAACTGAGTCCATGTGTTACGTGAACATAGCTTGGGACTCAATTAAGAGTAACATCCTTGTAACACCCTTGTGTTACCTGGTCATGGATGTCACTATAAGTAGGAGTTATCCAAGTAAAATCCATATTGAAAAAATATTTATTAAAAAACAAGGAATGAAAATCTACTAATCCATGTTTATTAAAGGATAAATAATAAAAGTGTACTAGTATACCAAATATATTTGCATACAGATTATTAAAACTCATAGTCCCTCAAAATTTCAATACAGTGCCACAGTGTTACCCTATGATCCTGTAATTCCAGTCCTAGACATATACAGACCTTAAATGAATAAAAACATACATCTGCATACAAGTTTGTACCCAAATGTTCATAGCACCATTATTCACAACAGCCAAAAAGTGGAAACAACACAAATGCCCATCAACTGATGAATGGATAAACTGTGGTATGTCCATAGAATAGAATATTATCAGGCAATAAAAAGGACTTAAGTACCAACACATGCTTTAACATGGATGACCCTTGAAAACACTGTTAAGAAGCCAGAAACAAAAAGCCAGATATTGTATGAGTCCATTCATATGAAGTGTCCAGGATAGACAAATCTATAAAGATAGGAAGTAGATTTGTGGTTTCTTAGGGCTGGGGGAGTAGGTGGGGAGGTGGGGGAATGGGAACTGGCTATTAATAGGTATGAGGTTTCTTTTTAGGGTGATGAAAATATTCTAAGATTGATTGTGGTCATTGTTGTACAGTTCTGTGATTATACTAAAAACAACTTGTATACTTTAAATAGATGAGTTGTGTGGTATGTTAATTACATCTCAATAACATTTAGAAAAACAGCAGTAAATGCAGCAATTGTTTAGAACTTAGACCAACAAAAGATTTTGTGGGGAGGAATAGTTCATCATTGTCAATATTAGAATTACCAGTTCTTGGTGATTAAGACCCACTCTTAGTTCGCTTTATTGTCATTTTTAAGTTTTATGCTGATGACTCATCCCCTTATTTTGGGCATGCAGGTGTCCCTCTCCCACTGCTGCATCCTGGCACATCCCTGCTGACATGGTCAGTGTAGATCAACACTATGGCCCATCTAGCGACTGGCTGATGCAAATTGCTTATGTGGAGAGAAAAGTCTACTATGGGACTTATAAGAAAGTTTAAGAATTTAAAAAATAAGGTGATAACTATTTTAGGAAGTCAAGAGCCATTTCAAATGAAATAAAACCTTTTAAATAGTTAAATGAACCTCCTGCAGACTTCTTATTCAGAGCCAGTTTTTTTTTTTTTTTTTTTTTCGAGACAAGTTTCACTCTTGTTGTCCAGGCTGGAGTGCAATGGCATAATCTTGGCTCACTGCTACTTTCGCCTCCCAGGTTCAAGTGATTCTCCCGCCTCAGCCTCCTGAGCAGCTGGGATTATACGCACCCACCACCACACCTCCCTAATTTTTTTTGTATTTTTAGTAGAGATGGGGTTTCACCATGTTGGCCAGGCTTGTCTCGAACTCCTGACCCCAAGTGATCCCTCCACCTTGGCCTCCCAAAGTGCTAGGATTACAGGCGTGAGCCACCCCACTGGGCCAGAACCAGTTTTAAAACTCAATTAACCCAGGATCTAGAGTTCTTGTGCATTCAGGCAGCTCTTGATGCCCATTTGCAGAGTGGATGCCTTCATGATTCATGGACAATCCCTACATACAAATGTCTGCTGCTCTTTCTAACCCCAAGAACAGCTCTGACAGCTGTGGAGACACTGCCCCCGAACCCTCCAGCCACAGACCATGCCCTGCTCCTCAGAGTGCAGACCTCCACTGCAGTGTGGCTGCCACATACTCCTCTTCACCTAACTGGGCTCCAAAACCCTGTGGAAGCCTGTGTTCTCCTCCCTGATACCATTGTCCTCATGTTTCTCACAGCGCCACTGGCTTCCCCAAGGAGAACACATTTCCACAGAGGTCTCTGGTCTGCCCTTGGCCTGGTCATTCATCCTCCTGCTACCCCACCGGTCCCACAGGAACTTATGTCTCCACTTTGAGGACTGGGGTTAAGGTTCTCCAAAACTTGGTTTTCGTCCTGGCAATGTCATAAACGGTGGTCAGTTCCTACAGCCTGATAAATGCTATTTTTTAAAAGACTATGTATATTATTTCCTGTGATTCTTGCACTTTTTAGAAGCTAGACATTATCTCAATTTTGATAAGACTGAGGCTCAGAGAGATTAAATAATTTGTCTCAAGTCACACAGCCAGTAAGTGAAAGAGCTATGACAGAAATCTATGGCTTCTGCTTCCCACGCCAGTTCAGTATTATCTAGAGGAGTAGGCCACAGTGAAATTATAGTCTGCATAGACTTTTGTTGCCTGGGCTTGGAGCCTAACCACCATTTCAGATCTTTTTTTTTTTTCCATGGGAAAATGAATTTCAAATTTCAAGCAATCAACACACAAATGTTCTTCTAAAGCATAACTCATTTTTAATTTGGAGACTATCTCCATTGTCTACCCACTGAAGATTTCATTTCTATTGATTCCTTTACCTTACTGGTCAGGACCCAAAAGGAGGATTGAAAAGCAAAGACTTGGATGTGGTGGTGCATGCCCATAACCCCAGCTACTTGGGAGGCTGAGGCAGGAGAATCACTTGAACCCAGGAGGCAGAGGTTGCAGTGAGCCAAGATGGTGCCATTGCACTCCAGCCTGGGCAACAAGAACAACACTCAATCTCAAAAAAAAAAAAAAAAAAAAAGAAAGAAAAAAAAAAAAACAAGAGCAAAGTCTTTAAAGTCAGACTACGGCCTACCACTTAATGATGTGATCTCAAGCAAATTACTTAAGTTCTCTGGGCCTCAGTTTCTTCCTTTGTAAAATAAGGGCAACAGGACACATATATGATTAGTGTAAGAATTAAATGAGTAATGCATGCTTGTATAGTGCTTGGTGCAGCCTGCAATAAATGTGGCCCATTGTTGTTAAGGTGCCCCAATCTGCATGATAAGTTATAAGGGTCACTCTACCTGAAGATGGGCCCAGGAGGTGTGACTTTGAGGGGACCACAAAGCCCCAAGGCTGGAGCTCCCTAATCACAGGGAAATTTGGCCTTTGTCAAGAGCATCTCACAAGGGAGATGAGAGCTACTGTTTGGATGTTTCCAGAAGCAGTATCTGGGTTCCTGGTGAGGGTCTGAAGCCAGGAAGAAAGCCTTCAGGGATGAGGGAGCCCAGCCAAAGGCACCAGCAGTCACGCAAGTGTCTGGTCTGACAGGAACCCTGCCAGGGAGCCAGGCCAAAAGGGCAGGGTGGGGGCTGGAGTGGAGGCCAAGATGACAAGCCAAACAGGAGATGAAGAGGAACTGGGAGATGATGTGTCAGGGACACCAGTAAGGATGCTGGAAGGGCAAGAGGTCTCACTGTGCCTGGGGGAAGGGGGTCCCTGGGCATCAGTCCCCACCTCGGGAGCCTACTTCCACTCTTCTCCATCTTTAAAAGAGTTGAGGCACTATCTATGGCACATCTGGGTTGTATCCTCCATGATGCTGTGCGCATGGGCCAGGCTTGATCAGTGACTGTGAGACTGCTGGTGATAGTAAAGATCAAACATAAAGCAGGCAGTGTCATTTAAACCTCCCACCACATTTAATGAGCAGAATTGGCAGCTTATTTCAATTTTAATTCAGTACTTAACTTCTCACAAAGTAGCAGTCATAAAACACTTCTCATAAATGAGGTGTAATAATTGAAAGCCCTAAGAATCAAAAGGCAGCATGGTAAAAAGAAAGGAATAAAACGGCAAGAGTCAGGAACTAGGTTCTATCCTGCTTCTGCTTCTTCCTGACTCCGAATTTTTAGGTAATTCAGTACACCTCCCTGAGTTCACCTGTCAATGGAGGTAATAATTGTTGGGAATGAAAAGTGTGGGGAGGCAAGCATTATAAAGACTGCGGAGTGTCACACAAATCTAAGCCAGGCTTCTCTCTGATATAATAAAGTAGGAGTTTCTAAAATAAACATTTATCACATGTATTAAGAAAAAAGCTCAGAAAAGACGACATATTCTTAAAAAGAATACAGCTGGAGTAAACGTAATGAACAAATTCTAGTACTACAGCAAAATCAGAACAATTTCAAACACTAAAGAAATGCTGCTTTACACAGTGGGTAATATGCTAGTAGGAGCTGCTAACCTTGGCTCCTTCCAGAAATGCACAACAGTTAGAAAACATAAATATCTTCTCAAAAAGTTACGATACATACATGGATGACAGGTTCATAGTGGAAAATCAATATTAATGAAAATTAAGAGGCCTTTTTTGAAGAAGGAAGAGCAATATTTCTTTCCAACAAACATGCCTGCTTCAAACCAAAATGCTGGGTTGGGCGGTTTGGGTCCAGTATTTCCAACATATGGAACAAACAGCAGCTCTGATGAGAGCAGCACAGTGCGATAGAAGACACATGGGCTCTGGAATCTGATGAGCCTGGGCTCCTATCCAAGTTGGCGCTTACTCTTCTATATGATTTTCAGCAAGTTATTTAGCCTCACCGAGCCTTGGTGCTCTCAACTGGAAAATGAAGATAGCAGTAACTACCTAATAGGTTGAATTAAATAACATCTGCCATATTTCAAGTATAGTGCTTGGCACAGAGGAGAGACTAGTAAATGGAAGTTCTCATTATCACTGAGAAAGTACCTTGACCTCTGCTTAGCACTGCCAGGAAGTCAGGGACAAAGACCATGACAATTGCCTGCTATTTGTCAACATGAGTGAGCAGCGGGACAAAGCTGCCAAAAAAAGGCTCACTCAGCCAGGCTGCATGAGTACCACTATAGGTCTGGAGGTCGTGCATGCGTGCGTGCGTGTGTGTGTGTGTGTGTGTGTGTGTGTGTGTGTGTATGAGAGAGAGAGGGAGAGAAAGAGAAAGATTGAGAGAGAGAGAGAGAGAGAGATATCCCTGTGCACTCTGTTTCAGTGATACTACATCTGGAGGACTGGCTACAGGTTGTAGAAGCACATCTTAAAATACAGGGAATCCAACCAGGGATGGTGGCTCTCGCCTATGTAATCCCAGTATTTTGAGAGGCCAAGGTGGTTGGATCACCTGCGGTCAGGAGTTCAAGATCAGCCTGGCCAACATGGTGAAATCCCATCTCTAGTAAAAATACAAAAATTAGCTGGGTGTGGTAGTGGGCACCTGTAATCCCAGCTACCTGGGAGGCTGAGGAAAGAGAATCATTTGAACCCAGGAGGCAGAGGTTGCAGTGAGCTGAGATTGTGCCACTGCACTCCAGGCTGGGCGACAAGAGCAAAACTCTGTCTCAAAAGAAAAACAAAAACAACAACAATAACAACAACAAAAACAACCAAGGAATCCAGAGGAAGATGAAGAGAATCCAGAGGACCTAAATACTAGCTCATTTGGAGAATAGTTGAAGGAGTTGGGAGATTTAACCTGGAAAAGAGTAATCTAAAGGCAAAGTAATAACTTTAAAAATAATTAAAGGACTTCAAGCAGAAATAGGTGGAAATATATTCTTTGTGACTTAGAAAGCAAAACAGGACCCAAAGACAGAAATGAGAGAGGTGCTGTTCAGCTCAGTAGTAGAAAGGACTCTTAATCCCGTGGTCACCTAAGGGAATGGGGCGTATAGTGAGGCGGTCCATGCAGCCAGGCACTGCAGGAGCTGAGCAGAAGCTGGGTGACTCTTGAGTCCAGGATTCCTGTACTGGGTTGGGCTGGGATTAGCTGGCCTATGAGGTTTCTTCTGAGTCAAACTTTAATAGAGCCCTGGTTTTCATAATCCTGCTAAAATTGTTTTGTCCTTATTAAATCATATTTTATCAATCTCAAGTCCCTCAAAATGGTTGAAAAGGTGATTATGCCTGAATACATTAAAAGTCAGAGGAAATAGTGAATTTAGGGCTCTTGGAGCTGTTTTCTTTTTGTCATTAGATTCAGAATGTTTTTGATGATTTTCATGCTCATCTATGAATATTATGTGAGTTCTCAGGTACTATATGTACACCTTATTCCCTCACTTTTTTTTCAAAATCCAACATGGCATGGAGTCAGAGTCTTATTTTTTTCTGCTTTGTCCAAAATTTAAAGCATTTTTAAATGTAAAGTATAAAAGTAATTAATATGGCTTCACTTAACCTCTGCCATTTTTATTCTTTTCTCTCAAATTGTTCAGAACATATACTATACATATACACAGAAGAAAAATAATTAAAGGGCCGACTTTGATCACTTTTTTCCCCCAAACACAACCACGTAAAGTACATTACTTATCTCATCTCAATCATGGAGTGCTACAG